TTCTTTGTACCGTGTTAAGAAAAAAACATTTCTACTTACCTCATTGTTAGATCTGCTATTGCTACTGCATGCATTTCACAATTAGGAAATAATGATATAAAGCTTACAAATGTCTTCAAAATACTAATTAATTGTTTTGGAAGTGTTTCCCATTATGTGAAATCAAAGTGCTACAAAAATCAAATTAGTATGTTAGCAAATATTTGGCCTAGAACTTGAATTGCTGTCTTGACTAGACCAGCTTTAGACAAGGCTCCATCTGAACATGCTTGTCTGCTTGTATTTGTTTTCCTCATGAACAAACAGTCAGGTGTTGTATTCAATGATGTTTGAAATTATCAATTTAGAAAATTGTGAACCACTGTAATCTTTGCTGGATATTTTCTGAAACCATTGTGAAACATGAAAGAAACCATATTCTTTAGATGTATTAAGAAAACAGCACAAATTGTGCCTCATTGTTTCAGCTATGCTTAGTTGCTGGCTTTAGTTGATGACCCTGATCATCAGCCATTAACACGACTTTTATTTTGCTTATACTACAAGGATCTGAGTTTATGGAGTGATGTGTGGTTTGCACTGATTTACATGAGGAAAATCGGATAAAAGGCAGTTTTAGTAGATTGTGCCTAACTTGATCCCTTTCTTTAGACAAGATAATTTTCTTGACAAGGGTAATTCTGCAGACTTGATCTATTTGGCAATCAGTAAACTTTTGGCACAGTGAGACATGGGAAACTGTTAGTTAAGCTGAAGAGGATGAGGATTAGTAAAAGAATGTCAATACAGTAAGGCATTGGACAAAGAGGTGACTATGAGGTGTGCTGTGTTGGCACAATCAGCAGGCTGGATGCATACTGCTGGTGAAATTCCTTATGGAGGAGCAGTTGCTTGGCCAAGGTGAGGCATCTGCCTGCTGAGGCTCTTGGTGAGACAGTTTAGAGGTGCCAGGGGTGCCTGATAAATATCTGATGATTAGACTAAAAAAAAAAATGGAGTGCCCATAAGGTCACAGCAAGGCACAAAGTGAGAAATAAAGTGAGCAAAACAGAATAGTATACATAGAAGCTAAATGCAGGAATTTCTGTTGTGAGCTGGGCATTATAATTTGGAAACAAAAGAAGCAAAAGAAATATTTGTCAATACTATTTGGCAAGAAGGTAACTATTAGCTAGCAATGTGATTGAGCTGTGGAAGCAGCAGAATGGAAACCTGCTTACAGTCCAGGGCACTCACCACAGTGAGCTCTTTCTGACTGGGTGTATTTAGCACCTTGTTCAAAACAGGTTTATAATTTCACCTATATTGAAGGAAACTCAACCTAAAATTAAAAAAAAAATACAAAAAGATTAAAAAATGCAGCTTGGATAAGCAAAAAAGAAAAAAAGAGAAGGACCCCATTTACAAAATAAGACTATGGAAGCACAGGTTTAGAATAGCAAAAGTATGGAGGGGATATTATAAAGACATTAAAACACAGGAGAATGGTGAGCTAGCTCAAGTCAGGCTAGTATCATCAGGCAAGATGAATGGGAATAAAGTACTCAGAAATAAATTAAGGCTTAAAATTAGAAGTTCCTAACTATTATAGATGTGAGGATCTGCTGTTCCAGAAGAGCAAAACGGGCAGGAGCAAAATGTAAAAGATGATCTTTATCATCTGATCTTCTGAATGAAACTACATGATTCCTGATTCCATGTAATGAATGAAACAACAGACAAAGAAGTGATGCCATCCAAGAAGGTCCTTCAAGGATAACTTCAAGGAATGCTCAGCTGACTTCTTAGTGAGCTTTTTTATATCTTAGCTGCAAATACACAACCATAGAATATCCAGAGGATGAATGCACATATTCTGGGAACAGCAGTGCCGTGAACACAGGCACAAAAAGCACAGTAGTTCAAGGCTGCTGACTCAACATATCAGTGGTTCTCAACAAGAGTGTATTTTCCATCATTTGTCGAGTCATCCACTTGTACATCCCCACATTTCTTGCAGCACTGCTCTCTGGGAGGGTTAGCATGCTCATGGTGACTTGGTCTTGATCTTCCAGGGCATCCCACATGTCAGTTATGTTCTGTATTGTTCAGTGAGAGGAAAAAGAAATTAAAATGTTGAGAGATGTGCAACTTATGATGCCAGATTTCCTTCTTATTCCTATAGATACCTCATAAAAAAAAAAGGTAAGATTTCCTAGTTAAAGAAAAACCAAACCAAAACAACAATCAAAAAAACACCAAAAAACCAACGGCTTTCTAATTCATCTCCACCTCTGTGCCTTCTTATAATGTAAATTCTTATAATGTAAAGACCTGTATTATACCTAGAAGCTGTACTGGGCAAGTTTAAGCCTCTGGTCTCTGCTTAGCTAAAGATCTTGTTAAAATCAATGGATATTTTCTGTGAAGAGTATTATTCAGCAGTATCATTGCAAAATTTATTCCCATACCTTAGGCTTCCCTAACCAGTTCGTTGCCTGCCTTGACACTTACTTCTTAATACAGACATTGTCCTATACAGGTTTTCTAGGATCATTGATTTTAGTGTGTGTACACTTGCTTCAAAGGCTCACTTTGCATGACTCAAGGTTAAATACCTTTATGCTATACAACTGTACTAGGCAACCGAGCCCTGATTTATAAAGTATTGATATGTGCCTTAAAACATGGCAAATTCAAAGCCAAGCTGATATCAGCTTGCTTTGAATCTAAAAATGAATGTATTTTCTAAAATATATTCTGCGTTATGCATATAGATGACTTTTGCCACAACCTCAGAAATTAATGAGGTTGTGGTAGGTACAAAGCTATGCATTTTTTGACACTGGCCTAATAATAATGTAATTTACTACTTGGATTGGTTTTCTTCTCGCTTATGAAGGGTCCATGCATTATAAAGATCTCAACCTGAGATTACCTTATCTATATTTAGTGCGCTTACAGCTGGGAAGCCCTTACACAAATTTAACAGCTAACACAAGCAACAAAAGGGGAAAAGATGGTCGAATTTTCAGCTACATCTCCAGTGGCACAAAAATAAATGCACTATTTCTAATATAATCTTAAAAGCCCGTGGTGCATCGTGTGAGCTCATCTCCAACATGTGGGGGTGCTGAGCCCTCGGCAGCTGAGGTGCAGAAACTCCAAGGACAATCGTACTGTGAAGGGTCACCTGGAACGACTCAGAAGGGCTCACAGCTGCTCTGAAACCCCAGCTTCCTATTACACCGGACAGAGCTTTTTTCTGATGCTATTTTGAGATGCAAGGTAAAAAGAAAAGATAGGCAGGCAGTAAAGCAACATACCCAGAGCTCAAAAGCAGAGGAATCTTTGCACAGCAAGAGATCTTCATTTATCATACGTAAGTAGTTTTCGTTTTCTTCTTTTTCATCCCACAGGTATTTTTCAGAGTGTCAAGAATTACCACTGAGTTAATTTAAAACCAGCAGATTAACAATTTTTCTAAGTGTTGAAAATTGAAACCTGGAATTTTACATATTCTTTCACGGGCTCTGGTTGTGGCTGCTAGCCAAGAAGGATCCTATGGCATGTGCTGTGAAAACCTTGGCGTAAGGACATAGGGCGCAGGTGATTCTTCCTCACCGAACACATAGGATAAAAAACGGCCCCCAAGTCTGTAAAATTTTATTCTGAAGCTAGTAGATAATATAAGATTTATAAGATGAATAGAGAATTGGTGCCCTCGAAAGGATACACCGCTTTTTGTTTCTGTTCTCCAGAGCACTACTTTGTAACTTTTCTCTTACACCTAGCCAAGAAATACACAAGCAGGCAAGCAGAACACACCCTGCTCCCTTATGCCATAGCAACTTGGCGGCCAGTAACGCTGCTCGCAAAAACAACTGCTAAACGCTGAACTTCTTTTGTGTTGAAGGATTGGAATTTAAATCTATTAATCTTTTAGGACAGAAGAAACATGGCAGTGTGAGACACCTCAATTTGATGCAGTAAGTTATCACATACTTCTACAGGATCTTTTAAAATGCAGATTTCTTGCAGTCTTCTTGTTTTAATGGAGTAAAAGCATATATTAATAAATTATTTGGCTTCCTATGAGTTTGTAGCACACCCTGATTAGCTGAGAGAAGAGAATATTTTAAGCAGACCTTTCGAAAACTTGATGGTAATGAATAAATATCGTATTAATATATATTACAGAGCTATATGAGGGTATGTGACTTGGTTGATGTCTCATTAAGAAGCATATTTAATATGCAACAGAAAATGATTTGCTCTCCGCAAACAGGACCACAATCTTCAAGCAATAGCTGCTTACACGTCTCAATTAAAATTAATAAAAATAGATTAAAAAATTGGCGGGGGGAGGGGAAAGGGGAAGAAAAAGCGAGAGAAGAAACCATCGCAGACTGAGGGAAGGCTTTCCCACATAACCTCATCTTCTGTGAGTCCTCGTTACTTCGCAGGTCGTTGGCAAGGGCGAGGGACGGTTTTGGCAACCCTCTGCTTTCACCTCCCTGCACCCCGGGGCGGGGGCTGCGGGCAGACTCCCTCTCTCTCGTCCCCGCCGCAATGTCGCCGCAGCCCGGAGCGCCCGCGGGCCGTCGGGGCACGCCGCTTCGCACCTCGGCGGCGCGGCGGGCGGCACGGAGCCGGCGGGCAGGCGGCGGGCCGGGGTCGGCGGGCGGGGCGGGCGCCGTGAGGTCACCGCGGCCGGGCCAATGAGCGGCGCGGCGCGGCGGGCGGCGGAGCCGGGGTGTCCCTCGTGCGGCGGCTGCATGGGGAGGGCGGCGGCGGCGGGCGTGGGGCGAGCGGTCCCGGCGCGCCCCCGCCCACCCAGGGGCCGGGACTGAAGGGGCGGTGCCGCTGCCCGAGCACAGGTGCGGCGGTGTCGGCGGTGGCGGTGTCGCGGGCGGGTGCGGAGCGCCCTCCTCCCGGCGGCGCCCGGCGGGGGATGTTCCGGCCGCCGGGGGCGCGCCGCCCGTGGGAAGCGCGCTCCTAACGCCACCTGGGCGTCGCAGGCAGCGCTCGGCGCGGAGCGGGCGGTCTGGGGTCGCCGGGAACCGGGCAGGTAGGAAGGAGGAGAAACGCGGCTTCGGGCGGGTCTGAGGAGCTTTTGTACGTTTGTCCTCCCTAGCGTGCGCGGGTGTCAGCGGCGGGGAGCGGCGTGCGGCGCAGCCCGGGCCGGCAGCGCGGCGGGGCTCGCCGCGGGGAAAGTTGTGCGGACTGTCCGTGCTTCGAAGCGGTTGAGCAGCCGCAGAACCCGCTGTCCAGCCGGGGCGGGGGGCCGAGGCTGTGGCAGCGGCGGCGGCCGCCGGAGGGCTCCGCGTACCGCGGCGGGGCTGCCCCGCTCCGGGGGCACTCGGAGGAGCGGCCGCTCCCGGGGGCTGCTGCGCCCCTCGAGCAGCGTGGCCGCCGCCGTGCGCGCCTGGGTCGGTGGGGTCGGCGATCGCGGCTGCCCGGTGCGGCGTCCCGTCCTCTGGCGGCTCGCCCCGAGCCCGGAGCGGGGCTCGACGTGCCGCCCGCTGTCGGGCTGGTGCCGCCGGGGCAGCGAGGAGTGCGCGGCCTCCCCCGGGCAGGTGCTCGGTAGTCCCCGCGGCTGTGCCGTGTCCGCTCCGCTCTGGATCCAACGAGGTTCCTCGGGACTGCGCCCCGGAGCGCGGGCTGTCGTGCGGCTGGAGTTTGGGAAGGCATCGGTGGGTAGGGTGTGCGCTGCCAGCGCACCCACAGGAGCGCCTGAAGCCGAGCCCGAGTGTTTACTTAAAACCAGAACTAGCCGTATTCCCTTCGCTGTGTAAGTGTCGCGGCAGAGAAACCCAAATGGACTCGTGTGCAGGGCTATGGATCCGCTCATGTGGGTTTTCATACTGATTAACTGCCTTCTGATTGCCTGGGATTACTTTGGAAAAACGCAAATCCCAGCTAATATCTGTGCTGACCATATATAGAAGTAATCGCAGACAGAAGTACTATAACTTCAGTATTGCTGACACAGGTCGAGAAACTTTAAAAACAGCAAGCAAAAGCCAGGACTTGTCCTGAGGATGTTTTTGTCCAAGGGATATATTTTCCTGTGTTTGCATCCTGCATTGACTGAAGCATTTCTACTGTTTGTTTGCTTGTTTACCTGCCTATACACCTCAAAGTTGGTGAATGATATATTGATTTTATTTTGTCTGCCTCTATTTAATCTGGCAGTGTTTGATTTGCTTACTTGTGTTGGACCAGGACTGCAGTAGGGAACGCTGCTTTTTCCGGAATGGAAGCCTGGTTTGATGGCTTTCAGAAACGTGCCTCGGCTTGGAAGCGAGCACATTGCTCATACAGTACCAATTTTCCATGGCATGGAAGAAGTATTGTAGGGTTTTCTGATATCGTGTGTTTTGTGCTCTCTTATTTTTTAAAAAATACATTGAGTTGTTTATTTTTCTAATAGCTCTGCTATTACCAGTAGCTTTTATGTGTACGTTATTGTCCTATGGAGCAATATGAAGACTACATTTTCCAGTGCTGAATCTCATTCAAAGTAATGTGCTTTTATTTCAGTGTCATGTGCATGTTAACAGGGTAACTCCAGCAAAAGGGAACAAGAATCTGTTGACTTGAGCTGAAACACTGAAAACAATTCTCTTGGACTGCTTTGGATGTAGCAGTTTTGCTGGATTTTAGTAACAAAGATATGAAATGCTCCAGGGATAATCCAGTATGGAATTCATCTGACTTACTGGCAGCTATCTCAAAACATGTTGTGTGTTCTCTTCTTCTACCAGATACATTTTGCCATCAAAACCAGAAATTCAGTTTTGTATGTTTTCACGTTTAATTCAAAAGAAATAGAACCTAACCTAATTTATTACAGAAACTGTCATGAGGTGTAAATTTATCTCATTTTCAAGTAGATGAATAGTAACTTTCTGGAGGGAGCTGATTGCATGCATTTTATCATGCGTCTGTATATTGTCAAGTACAGTGCATTTTTCTTTCTGTTACTGAAAAAAAAATCATCTTACTCATAGTAATATAATCTGCGTCCAACAACTTATTAATGTATTTTAGAGCAGCAGTCTCAGAGGTAGGTTTTCATAGTGAAAACCAACCATGCCCATATGAAACATCATAAACACGGTGCTCAATGGTGCCTTAAATTGCAGTTCTAGGTATTAGTGTTAAGGAGTAAAATGTCTTGGTTAATTTGTAAGCTGGTCTAAAAAATTGTCACACTTACTACATTCTACATTCTTAACCTATAGTAGCTACTCTAAAACTATCCTTCCTCCCTTTCTTGAATTAGTATTTGGATTTTAGTCTTAATGCTATGAATGTTTTCAGGGTCAAATCCTGAAATGCTGAAGAAAATCTTGTGATGACTAATGTGGAAATTTCTTCCACGTGAATGCTACAGTGTTACGGTTCTTATGTTCATATCTTCTATTCTCCCTCAGTCTTCATTGTAGCAGACAGCCTAATTGTGTACTTTGTGCCAGCAATTACTGTGCTTACGCAGTGTTATGTGACTCAAAAAGGAAGGGGTGCAAAAGGTGCTTGACTCTAGGAAAACGTTTGAAGTGATCTGGATGACCTTAATTAATATTATTCATTATTGTATTACGTCTTGTTTGCCATTAAGAGGAGGTGGTGTTCTGAGGAGAAGACAAAGTATCTGTGCAATATTTGAAGGCAATGAAGGCTCTGCTCAGTGCATGTAAACGCATGGCTGCTTAGTTTAGTACAAAATACGATGGAAGGTTTACTAATATTAATGGTATCCCTTACTGTAATGGCAGATACTCATTTAGCGAAGATATATAATTAAGCTTTAAAATAAGGAACATTATCTTTAAGATTATGTGGGGGAGGATATGCAATTCCATCTCAGTATCCTTATCTGTTTTTAAGTACCATAGTTAGTGAATTTGTATCAGATGTTTAAATGGATCTGTAAACTTGCAATAAAAATAAAGAGCCTGGTAACACCAAAAGTTATCAATTTTGCAAATCCATTCAACAGTTTTGCTACATTCTCTGTCACTTTGTTCTGTGTCTCTTCTCTATTGAAGAATATCAGTTCTGCTGGGCTGCATGGGTTGCTGTACATCTGAAACTGTCAGAGGTGCTGGGAGAGTGTCCATCACTTGCACCTCTACGAGCACAAATTGTGCCTTCCCGTCTACCCAACAGTGTTGCAGCATATACCAGGCTATGTTCCTGACGGTGTTGGGGTGCAAAACATTATAAATACATTTAGTATAAGCCTGGTGTACCATGATTAGATTAAGACTTCATGCTCAGGAGTTGTTTATGTCTTATTTTTGTTTTAAGAGAGGATAAGAGCAGGCTGCAGTGTTTTCTATTTCTTGTGCCTTGGTTGAGTGCCAGCAGAACACAACCTTGTCCATGCACGCCTGGCTAGGAGATTCAGTGAGGGCAAAGAGAGAATCCATTCTTGTGAATGTAAAATGTTGAAATTAGTGACTTTAAAATAGGCAGAGATGAACGATTAACCCCCTTGCATCTTTTAAGTATGTAATTTCATGCCAGAGGCATCTGTTGGTATAAAGGATGGAAGCCTTAAGTGAGTTTCTTTATTAAATGTTTGCAAACTGAAGGCGCAGTCTTTTCTGTGGTTGGAAAATCTTTGGAAAAACATAAGATGTCATTTATATTACAAATGATAAATAATCAGTTGCTGCAATGAGAGCTAGAGGTAGTTTAATACTTCTCTAAATTAATCTTGATGGAGATAGTTACAGAGAAATAATAATACAGTTTCAGTATGGATTATCAGAAAATGTTTTCCTGGGTATGATTTGAAAATGCAGATACTTGTCAATGCCACTACCTTTCCTTCTCTCTTTTCTCTCTAAAGATGGAGTAAAAAAACCCCTGTTTAATTTAAAACAATTTCCTGCAAGCAAATTCAAGGTTTTGTCCATTTAGCCCAGTGCAATATAACACTTTATCCACAGTATCAGAGTGTCACGAACACCAAAGTTCTGATAAATTGTCTGTTCTCTGTTGTGGGCATTAGGCCTAGTCTCGATCTCCAGGAGGTTGTGGCTGCTTTGCAAGTTTGTAGACAGTTCTTGTAGGGGTAGTGAATGTGACTGGGAGCTTCCAGGATTGTTCAATTACATTCAGGAAGTTGATAGACTTGTGCTCTATAATGATATATATTTCTATAATTTCTATATTTTTCCTTTCCCTCTCTGGATAAGAAGGCTGTGTGATGATGTGTAAGGTTAATCTCTCACTTTATTTGGATGATAATCTGTCCTTCTTTATTCCCATGGGAAGAAGATTAATTATGGCATGCAAATGTTTATAATAAGAAAAGTCAAAAGTTTACCTCATGCAAATAAGTTCATAGACCACAGAAATTTGGAAGGAAGGGATTAAAAAAGATGTTTGAAGTTACTAGGACACGTCTCTGTGTGTACATCTCTTCTCTTAAAGAAAACAATCTAATCTTGGTGCCAGGGGTTGGCCACAGGGCTTTGTATGATATTGTTTGCCTGCTGAGCTCTAGCTGTGTTTATGTGTAACATTTTGTCCACTACTACCTTATTTGACAGCATTAGGTGTACTGGAGCCAGATGCTGAGGGCTCTTCTTGGACCTTTAAGACTCCATGTTGAAGTATGGAGGGACAACTTTTCAGGTCAAATGTGTAAAGTCGTGACAACATACATTGTCCTGCAGCCTTTTTGTTCCCCTCTGTCCTTCTCATGATTAGGAGAAGACCCTTCTAGCATCTAGGATTAATGGGTTTTAAGAAAACCTCCCAACATTCCTGCATGAAGGTCTGAGGTATCAGCTGTAGCACCTAAAGGAAATAAACCTGACCGTTTTGAAGGGGAAAAATGTTATCTATCATCCAGAAGGATTTATAAAAAGCCTTCATTATTTCATTATGAAATAAGTAAATTTGAGTTCAGTAATTGTGTGGGATTCTAATAGTGGGAAATACATTATTAAGGCTGTCAAATCACACATTTTAAAAATCTTACTAAATACATACTGAAGAAGCAAAGCATTCCATTTTCTTCAGCCTTGCACTACAGTCACATAGAGC